TGGTTTCTCCATCTGTAATTGCCAGCATATGTTAGATCATGAGCCTGTCCCTTTAAGATGCTAGGCACACTAGGTGGACAGAATGCAGTGAAGAAATCAAGGCATGCCTCTCCCCGCCACCCACCCCTACAGTCCTGCAACTCTCTCTGGGACAGAGGGTTGGTTGTGCTTCAAAGTTCCTAGTCTATGATCCTCTTGACTCACCCAAGCTCTTTGTCACAGAGACTATCTCAGACCAAATCATGTGGTGTAGAATGTCCCACCACACCATGAAAGGATATAAAAGTCTATTATTTTCCTTTCTTCAGAGGATCTTCTCTGGGCCTACCCTACCATCTTTCCCATGGTGGCTATCTCTCTTAATGAAGTCACTTTCCAAGTTTTGGAGAGAGGCCTCTCTTTTGCTTTAAGGCACCATCATACTCCCCCTTTGTAATAGTCCCCCACCTCAAGGCCAGATCATGGATGGTTCCACAGGCTCTGTGTCTTCATTCCTAATAAAAACCAATTCTGAAGGGTAATTCTGCCACACTCCTTTTTCTAACAGCACGGATGTATTTAATGTCTTTGAGTGTAAGCATCAAACATACTGTAAATAAGTCATGTGACACAATTATCCAGTCAATAGTTGTTACAATTCCTTATTCAGAGTCTTCACACCTGTCAACACACACACACACACACACACACACACACACACACACACACACGGGGGTGGGGGGGAGAGGGAGAGAATTAGAGTTTTTCTTGTGTATTTGTGTATACTCTCTCAGACTTCCAAATTCAATGAAAGAACACATGGAATTAACTTGTAGGTGGTGAAGACTCTCTATCTCTCTGGTGTGTGTGAGTGTGTGTGTGTGTGTGTGTGTGTGTGTGTGTGTGTGTGTGTGTGTGTGTGTATGTGATATTCCTGCAGCAATGTGTTCCTGTTGCTCTACAGTATGTTCATAGAAAATGTAGGCAACTAAAGGACACTTGTCTGAGGGTATTTCTGCCTCATTTTGGTATTCAACACTTGTGAAAGAATAATAATGGTGATCAGGACCACTGCATGCCTGTTCTACATAAAAGAAAAATCCAATTGGTATTACAGAGCTGCTGGTCTTAGATTCTCTCTTTCTGCTTCAGCTGATATATAGTGTAAATCTAAAACTTATTTTAAAACCTGTCTGGGTAAGACAGCTTTTAATTAATCTTCTCTTAGTTTTTATACTATATGGTACCTGGAAGATGCAAGATCAATCATCACCGCCTTGTAACGTGAAGTTGTGAGACAGAAAGATAAATGAGCTATCAAGCTTAGCATTTTGATAGCTAAGTTAATTTAACCAGCTCCAGAACATACTCTAGACTGGTGGATAAAGTTGTGAGCTGGGGCATTGCTTGTTATAATAGTGAACGTGGTATGTTATTGAGAAAACAGGAATTTGCTGTCTGTCCTCTATGAAAATTTAAATCCAAGATCAGAGAGGTGTTAGTGGGTAATAAGGTCACAATGCTGCTTCCTTCAAACCAATTAAGGGAGCTTTATTAATTCAAACTTTTAATTGAGCACTGGTTACCAGGCTCTGGGCTGGTCGGCTGTCTTCCTCTGCAGAATGCATAAGGAAGAGCTTGGCCATGCCAAAGCAATTTTAACTCAATTGATACAGAAGAGGAGATCTCAGTACTCTGTTTCCTAATGAGAATATCAGGATTTTTTAGATCATAAATTGTATTTCAAATTGTATTTTCTTAGTGGTAGGAATTTGAAATTGATTCTTATCCTTGAGGGAGAGGATACCCCCATCCTTGGAATATCCATTTATGAAAGTATGTTTCAATCAGCAAGAATAAGAATAAAACTGCCAGCCTGACTTCTCAAAACTACCAATCTAAGTTATAATAGAACTTCAAAGGAGAGAAAGAGGTTTCAGAAGTCACTGGAGAAGTATTTAGATATGTTAATCACAGCTATTAGGGGATATCAACTTTGGAATGTCACATCTATTCAAGTAAGCAAGGGTAAATGGAGCAGTTTTGATATGCTTTCTCTCCCTTAAGATGATAATGAAATCCAATTGCTAGAAAAGGGAAAAATCTACCTTTATCCACTCCCACACTTACCCATCCCCAGCTGGCCCATGTCAGACAGTTTTTTTCTATTTTGTTCAGTCATTTGTTCACTCACTCTTAAATAAATGTATATCTAAATCACCGGCTACATACAAGGCAGGTCTTTTGTTCCGTTTTAGAATTATAGTTACTACTAAGTCATAGTTCATATCTTCAAGAAGTCACAAAGAAATGTTAGGTATTACAAAATGACATGTATGTGGTTGTTATTTTATGTCAACTTGACTAGGTTGCAGACTGACCAGATATTTGGTTGGACATTCTGAGTGTATGTATCCCAGAGGGTGACTCAGGATGAAGAGAATGGGTGGACTGATGGGGTGCATAAAACAGATGGTAGTTGCCAGTGTGGGATGCCTCATCCAGTCTATTGATGGCCCAGAAAAAAAAAAGAAAATGAATGCCCAAGACTGAATTCTCTCTTTGCTTTAAGCAGGGCCATCAGTCTTCTCCAATCTTTGGACTTATGCTCAGACTAGAGCATGTGTTGTTAATCCCAAAGAAGTGAGGAGAAAGATCACCATCCAAAATCATCATGGACAAATTAATTAAAGCAAGCAATTAATTAACACAAGCTTTTTACTTGTGTAACCAGGCTGCCTCCCCATAAGGCAGGGTTGAAGACATCAGCATTGGATGTGGGGAAGATAATGTTTTTATAGATCAAGGATAGAGAGTTTTCAAATGGGGGATTTGGCAGGCAAATACAGAACATAACAAGGTTGGTCATAACAACAGGTCATAATCACCTTTTGAAACAAAGGTAAGGTTGCAGGATGATCATAACAACCTCCTGAAACAAAGGCACAGTTACAAGGTGGTCATAACAACTTGTTGAAACAAAGATATTATTTCCATTTCCTGGAACAGGCAGTAGAGAACCATTTATAGTTAAGGTTACAGGTGGGGCATAGACCAATCTTTGAGAAACAGAGATTTAATCATTAACAGGAATGAAACTACTTTGTTTTTAGTATAAGATAGCTTTCAAGCCCAAGATGGAGGCAGGATGGTTCATCAGTGTATCTATATGTCATCATATAAATTGTGTGTGTTTCCACATCTGTGTCTGTGTATGCCCACATGTGCCTGTGAGCAATATGCACCTGGTGGTTCCTGGAACTCAAAAGATAGTCGTGCAGGTAAAAATGAGAACAACTGTACCCTTGGGCTTTCTAATTACAGCCACAAGCTATCTTCAAATTCACATAATACTCCTCTCTTCATCCACCACCTCTCCTTACTGACATAGACCATTGCCTTTAGAAATCAAACAGTTCAAAGACTCACCTTAAGAACCTCTGAGCCCAACCACAAGAAACAAAAACACATTACTTCCTTCACATGCAGACATTTCAAAGTGGTCTGTGTGGTGTTCTCCTTTGTTGCAGCATCTCTAACCCTCAGTGTGCCTCTATTGTGATGGGCTCCTTTAAAGAAAGGACTTTCTTTATATAATGGAGGTAATTATTTTCACAAATCTATGGATGCTTAAAGATCAAAGTCACCTTCAAGGCATTGTAATACTGCTCTCAAAGATAAAATGATTCCTCTAAAATCACCTAGCTAGTTAGCAGCATAGCCAGATGAAAACCAAATCTAGGGATTTCATAAAGATAGATTCCCCTTGCCTTTACATCAAGGACAGTTAGAAAAGTACTAGAAAAACAGTGTTGATTTTGAACAAACCTCTGCTTCATTAAACAAACCTTTCTTACTATACTTTTATACAAAAAAAATATTTTGTTCTGAAGTCCTGCTAGTCAGAGTTTACTAATTAATTCATGCATATGCGCACACACACGTGCGCATATATACACAGACAGAGAGAGAGAGAGAGAGACAGAGACAGAGACAGAGACAGAGACAGAGACAGAGAGAGACTATTGGCAGAGTGGCAAAGGAAAAGAAACTCTGCATTGAACTAGATGCATGTATAGACATGTGCAAATACGATTATAAATTTACATAAAGGTTTTTGTAAGTGTAGACATTCATGTAGTTTTTAACTTTTGTTTCTAGTTCTATGCAGTGAGTAAAATCTGTTACCCTCAGTTTTAAAATTTAACACCTCAGGAGGCTACAGAATAGACATTGCATTTGGAGGTGGGGGGGGAGGATAATGGTTAAGAGCATGGGCTTTGACATTAGCTATACCCCCAAGTTCCAACGGCTCTGCTGCTTAAAAGAGAATTCTTCCAGCTGTGTTTGTAACTATAATCACTTAATAAGGGCAAAGTGGTGAAAAATGGCAATACAGGTGCTCCCGTGTTTGGAAATTTTTGTTCAAATCAAATCATCAAATCATCTATAGACAGTATGGGGAGTATGTATATACTATAGGAAATAAAATCACAGTGGCCGTATTTATAGTTAGTGTTTGGTGTTGATATATTTTAAACTAAAAGTAATTTTGTTTAAAATAATTTTTATGATTACAAAATTGAAAACAACTTAAGAATAAAAAATCCATGAGAGCTATCTGAAAGAGTGTTAGATTACTAACTGCTAATAAATCCTGTCTAGGAAAAAGATAAAACAGATGATTTATTTTTTGTATTTATGTTTTAGTTTTTACATCCTAACTACAGTTTCCCCTACTTCCTCTCCTCCCAGTCCCTCCTCTCCACCTCCCTTCTTCCCCCTATCCACTCTTCCCCCTTCATTTCTCTTCAGGAAAGGGTAGGCCTCCCATAAAACTCAACTAGCCATGGTATTTCAAGTTGTAGTGAGACTAGGCACCTCTTCTCCTATTAGGGCTGGACAAGGCAAACCAGTGGGAGCAAAGGGTCCCAAAAGCAAGCAACAGAGTCAGAGACAGCCCCTGCTCCCTCTGTTAGACTCCAACAGAAGACCAAGCTACACAAGTGTAACACATGTGCAGAGGGCCTAGGTTAAACCCCAGATGATTTTCTTTATGTGTTTTGTTTTGTTGAGAGAGAGAAATCTGTATCAGGCAGCAGCCTGCACTTCCTTCCAACAGCCTTTCAGAAGATAAGCCAATGAGGACCTACCCTGGCGGATGGACAGAACTGGAGATGAAATACAGAGTTAGCTATTGTGACTGGCTTGCATGTGGTCAGACACAGGTGACAGGCCTTGGGAGCAGACTCACTGTAGACTGGTTACCAGCTTGCATGAGTTGCAGGAAGCAAACTACTTGCTTTAAAATACTCACGAGGGCTGGAGAGATGGCTCAGTGGTTAAGAGCACTGGCTGCTCTTCCAGAGGTCCTGAGTTCAATTCCCAGCAACCCCATGGTGGCTCACAGCCATCTGTAATGAGATCTGGTGCCCTCTTCTGGCCTGCAGGGACACATGCAGGCAGAACACTGTGTATATATAATAAATAAATAAATCTAAAAAATATAAAATAAAATACTCAAGAAAGAAGCAACAGAAGCCCAGGATTCAATACTTGTCCATTCCCCAGAGCTACGGAAAACTACCCAGGGCAGACAGTCTTGACTTCACATGACTACTGCATTGCACCTGAAGAATCCCAGGAAGCAGATAGTCAACCTGGGCTTTATCCTCGGGGTGAGAAGAATTTCTGGGTAAATGCACCCAAAGACATCCTATTTAGGGGGAGGATGCAGTAGAGTATGGACTGTCACCTCCAGTCTCTCCCATCTCACACTATTGGTCCCACAGTTACTCTTAGAGCCAACGGCCAGCAGGGAGCAGGGGAAAAGGGGATGGTTGGAAGATCACCTGGAAAACTGACCTGTAGAATTACTCTCACAAATTTTCAGTTCATCTCCCGTCTGAGACAAAATAGCTCCTGATCCCCTTCAAAACACTGGAAACTAAATGACCATACTATATTTAAAACAGATCTACTCTCAAGGAAAAAGGAACAAAAGAGACATTAAAAGTTTCTAACCCTCAGAAGAATGAGCAAGTCAAGGGTCACTTACAAGATGGTCCGTAGCAAAGAGGCACTTCCTTTTGTGTGTGTGTGTGTTTCCACAAACAACAGCAATGGTTGATTCCTGACTTGAAGATGTTGGACATGTTAGGAGCCCTCTCTGAGCCTCAGTTTTCATGTCCTTAAATGAAAGAGCTAAAGATTAAATTTTACTTTTCCTGATGGGCATGATAAAACACAGGAGCACAGGGTCATATATAAATTACCTTTAACAAATTGTAGTCATTGTGACTTGTTTGACTTTTCTCTAATGTTTATTTTTTTTAGATCTATTTTATTTTGTATACGATTTTTTTTTTTTGCCTGCATATGTATGTGTACCTTACATGTATTTCTGGTATACACACAAGTCAGGGGATGTCAGATCCCCTGAAACTGCCACTATGAATGGTTGCGAACCACCATGTGGATGCTGGGAACTGGACTCAGGACCTCCACAAGAGCAGCAAATGCTCCTAACCACTGAGCCACCCTCTTGCCCCACAGTGTTAATTTCTGGTGAACAAAATCCCGGTCTTAGGCATTATATAGCATTGTAGTAATAATACGCATTTAGTCAAAGCATAAAAAAGACAAACGTAAGAAATATAGAAGACATTGCTCCCTCCCCCACCTCCCCCATCATCCACTATGGAGCCCAAACAGCTAAGTCTTTTGTTCTTTTGTTATCTGTAGGTAATTAGATATTATTAATTTAATTACAAGTGACTCTTACTTATTAACGTAGTTTGTTTTCCTGTTTGCTTTTGTTAGTAAATAACTAATTTTGCTACATTGGGGGAAATCACTTTATGCTCAAATCTGATTGATTTGTGTCTCCCTAAAATTCTTGTGCTGAAAGCTATTGCCAAAGGGATGATGGTATTAGAAGGTGAGGTCTGTAAGGGTGATAGATCATGAGATTCATCCTGAACAGGACTGGTGACCTTATAATAGAGGCCCCATTGGTCTGCCTTAGGCTTCAGCCATGTGAGGTCACATAGAAGGAATACTCACCAGGCACTGACTCTGCCAGCACCATGATGTTGGACTTCTGAGCTCCTAAAACTACAAACAGCAGATTGGTTATTCACAATATGACCCAGTGAAGGTATTTCAACATAGCAGCTGAATGGACTGAGGTACCTAAGAAGTCCATCAAGCTCATCCCACGTTCTAATGTGTGTTCTAAGGAGGGGTCTTCTGCTTCTTTGGACAGAGCATAACAGACAAAATGAAGGAGTACCCAGTCTTCAGCCTTTGTCTTCCTATCTCCAGCAATCCTAACACCATGGGCCAAGCATTCCTTTCACACCCGGGAAAAGTCAGTGGAGTGACTGGTGTGCCCCAGGACCCAGTCACACTCTATAGTCCTTATCTCCTTCGGTTAATGACATTCAGCAGCTATCAGTGTCCACAGCACAACAGCCCTAGCCTACTCTAGGAAATTCCTTGTGGATATCTGACTCTGCATTCACCCAGGGCCAGCCCCTCTTGCCTGATGATTACATTCATCAGTGACTTTGTGAGCGTTGGCCTCCCCCAGATCAAGGTACCCCTGAGAGAGAAAATGTTCACAATCACATTGCTCAGACCATTGAGGAAAATGCCATTCAAATGAAATGCCTCATCAAAGGCGTAATACACACAGAGCCACACTATAACTTTCACGCTGTTGTAGAAAAAAAAAAAAAGTTAGATTAGTTTGACAAGATTAGGTCTTTTAAGAGTCCTTCTGATTTCTCCGCACTACCCCATAATCCCTCTAAGACTTTGAAAATTAATCCTCCTATTATGATTGTACTTCAAGAGCTGACTATTGTGCTGCCTGGTTTATGGCATCTGGCATCATGTGCCCCTTAGCAAGCCTCTCAGAGTTTTCAGAGGGTTTTGTTTCTGGTAATTCCTTAAGCATCCCAGGATTCAAACCATTCTATCTTGCCATTTATTTTATTAATCCTAAGTGTGTCTTAAAAAGAAAGAAATAGAAATTAATGAAAACAAATTAGCATTTTTGATGGTGAAAGATACCTTCAAGGATGTTCTCATTTCTTCAGCGTGACATTGCACTGCATGGCTGCTCCGGAGCAAGATGACATTATAGCCTTGATTTCCTTACAGAGGGACAGCATCTCACTTTAAACAGGACCATACTAACCAGGGATGGGGGGAGCTCAAACCAGGGGGAGTGCAGCTGTTAGAAATTCATGTTGGCCATAAGGAGGATCTGACAAGAGGCCCTGATAACTATAACAATTCTCTTTCAAATATCCCTTTCTAAGGGCATGGCTTCCCATCAGCCTAAATCACCACAGCCTCTGTAGCTAGAGTTTTCCTGCCTGGCCCACAGTCAGGACAAATCTCTCTCACCCGCCAGTCCCACAGCCACTCAGACCCGACCAAGTAAACACAGAGACTTATATTGGTTACAAACTGTATGGCCATGGCAGGCTTCTTGCTAACTGTTCTTACAGCTTAAATTAATCCATTTCCATTAATCTATACCTTGCCACACGGCTCGTGGCTTACCAGCATCTTTACATGCTGTTTCTCATCATGGCGGCTGGCAGTGTCTCTCTGACTCAGCCTTCCACTTCCCAGCTCTATTCTCCTCCTTGTCCCGCCTATACTTCCTGTCTGGCCACGGGCCAATCAGTGATTTATTTATTGACCAATCAGCAACACATTTGACATACAGACCATCCCACAGCACTTCCCCTTTTCTTTTCTTAAAAAGGAAGGTTTTAACCTTTACACATCTCCAAAGTCAGCTTGGTATATTTGGGAATTTGGGTGTAGCTTCTCATACTACTTCCTGCTGGAGGGGGGCGCTGTATCTTATGGGGACATAAAGAATATTTTAGGATTATGGAGTAGTCCATGAGGGTGTATCGTCTGAGCCAGTTGCCTTGAAACGGTTCTGGATGTTGGATCATCTGGGCCATGGTGCCATCGGAGACCTTTCAGGTGGTCTTGGCTGGTCAAACCTGATGTATCTTAATCTGGAACAAATCCATAGCCTCTGGCTTTCTGTGGAAACAAAAGCAGAGCCTCCTTTCCAAAGCAACATATCCTTACATCCAAATTTTGAAGTCAAGGTACCTTTAAAATATACATTTTGGCATAACTCAACAGCTTTTGTAATCAAATGTTTTTCTTCAGTTACGAATATCAAAGAGAACATAATCCAGATTCTCTGTGTGGTAGCCATCTTTACGTGGCTTATTTTTTTATATTAGCTTGTGCCTATTGCTTTAAACTGCAGCCTTCTAAGCCTGAAACGGCGCTAGCGCTATGGCTGCTGGCTCTGCCCACTTCAGCTTCCCAGCATGGCGGTGGTACGTTTTCCGCCAGCTCTGGGAGCCATCAACTCTCAGAAATAGTGGGTCTATGCTTCTATCAAAGCAGCGTGTAGCCCAGAAACCTTTTTTTTTTTATTTTGTACTAGCAAAGGCTAAATCCACCACACAGCTTAATGTGCCACTTGCAGAGGCCTCATTCCCGCCATACTGCAGGTCGAGTGCGCACACTAGGAACTCTCAAACCCGCAGCTGCCGCTCATTTGAGAGAGACAATTAGGAAGCTGTTTTTAGCTCCATTTTAGAATCTTTTCTCAGGTTTTAGGTGGAAACTCTTGCCACCACGTTGGACGCCATTTGTTGCTAATGTTTTCCTGACTGGCCCACAGCCAGGACAAATCTCTCTCACCCGCCAGTCCCACAGCCACTCAGACCCGACCAAGTAAACACAGAGACTTATATTGGTTACAAACTGTATGGCCGTGGCAGGCTTCTTGCTAACTGTTCTTACAGCTTAAATTAATCCATTTCCATTAATCTATACCTTGCCACACGGCTCATGGCTTACCAGCATCTTTACATGCTGTTTCTCATCATGGCGGCTGGCAGTGTCTCTCTGACTCAGCCTTCCACTTCCCAGCTCTATTCTCCTCCTTGTCCCGCCTATACTTCCTGCCTGGCCACTGACCAATCAGTGATTTATTTATTGACCAATCAGCAACACATTTGACATACAGACCATCCCACAGCAGCCTCTGACCTAGGCATGATGGTGATCTCCTAACTAGTATTGCTGGACCAGCTATAACTGTCAACCACGTCACTACCAGGTTAGATCAAGTCTCACCCTGTTTAAATTACTCTGAGGCCTCTCATTAGGACTAGGAAATACATATGTTTCCTTTCAAACAGTATATAAAATCATGTACAAGACCTGGTCCATGACTACTTGTCCTGCTTTAATATAGCATACATTATTCCCCAGAGCCATTGCTCTGTGCAAAATCATGCAATAAAAAACCATGAGACTTATGGCAAGAATGAGGCCAGGGGAGAAGTACTCGAAAGGTTCATCAGTACCACAGTTTAAAAAGATAGCAACCAAACAAATTCTGGGCACAGTTTTACATATCTTCAAAAAGTAAGAAATGTAGCAATGCTTCAACAAATATGATACTTTACTGAGGGGGGGGATGGAAGTTTACTTATGTCAATGAGTGGCAGAAGAATTGTAGTTTGTGGATTACTAAATAATGGAAAGATGGTTAACTGAAATCAGGAGGAGAACTGAGTGGATGTGTGTGAATTATATACACAGTAAACTGAGACATGGGAGAGTTGTGAGGATGCATGCTGTCTATTTGATATATCCTTCCACTTCTCACTTCAGCAGGGTACACAGCTTTTTGCATAGGCATTCAGTTCCTATTCCTCCCAGTAAAAAAAAAAAAAAACACACACATAGTCAAATGCAAAAATCCATATAATATGATGCTCAAATTGTCACTGCCAAACCTGTGTGAACATGTTTCCATTCTGGAAGCGAACAGCCCCCTGACCCTCCCAGCACAGAGTCCCTATTAGCCAATACTCAACAGCCCCATTGTGCCAATTTTGGCCCTTCCTCTTACTGGACTGTCTTTGATCAAGTTTTCTATGGCCTCAAAGCTACTTTCAATGCCATTGCAACAAATGGTCTTAGCCCCACATCTTTTTCAATACATAGCCTCCATGACCACACCCTCAGAAACTTGTAGTTGTTGAGGTTCTAGTAAAATGAGGTAAGTAAAATTAAGTTTCTATTCTTTGATTTTGTCTCTCTCCTGCTAGAAAGCAGGCTCTTTGAGATCAAGTACCGTCTCTTCCTTCACATATTAATTTCCACATCCTTCTGGGTATTGTGCCCGGTACAAAAACACACACAAAAAAAAGGCTTTCAAAACTCATCTCCTGAATGATAAGAGAATGAATGAATGATGGTGTTTGAGCAAATATCAAATATATCCAGCAAGCTCTCACAGAATGGCCTTATTAATGCGGTTACAGCCCTTACTCAGTTAAGCCCCTTACAATTTAGCTCTTGGTTAGATTTAATGATCTCATTATAAAAGAGCTTGAAGGAAAACAGTACAAAATTAAATTTAAAAACAGAATATAGGAGACTTTGAAGAACAGATTACTAGAGTTACACAACACAAAACAACAACAAAAGAAAAACTCAGCCCTCAGCATGCCAAGAACAGGTGGGTTCATTCATGCTCTTAAAACCTGGACTAAACTCTCAGGGATGACAATGGAAAATTATCCCACTTGTGAGAGTGTCTAAAAGGACTTGGTGGGACCTTTTTAGAACCATGAGCCAACTTTTGCTGTCCATCTTTTAGGAAAAATCTGTAGAATTGTTGAAGGATCTACAAGGAATTAAATAGTCATTGTAGAAAAGCTAAAAGCATCCAAGAACTTTAGCATTCCCCCTTTTGCACCACAGAAAAGCAGCTGTAGCTGAGGCGTCTGAAAGTCTCTTAGTGTTCACTTTTTACGTCTACGCTTAAGGTGGACATGTGACCAGTGTAAGAGCTCTGTTCCCAGCTTCCTTTGCAGCTATGTGAGATCACATGATCATGAGGTAAGCATTTGACAAGTGGGTTATAAACACCAATTCCGACTTCCACAAGACTTCCTTTTGAAAAAGCTAAGTGTCTTAGTAAGGGTTTCTATTTCTGTGAGGAGATGCCATGACCATGGCAACTCTTAGAAAGAAAACATTTAA